CAGATAGTAATGACAGCAAATGGTGGAGGGTAGAAAGAAGCCTGTGTGAGAAGGTGTCAGACTTGAGCATATCTCCCATTTCATGGTATCTAGCCAAGAAGGAGAATGTACACATGCCAGATTTGGTAACTACACATAAAGGCATATGCCTGATACAGTTTGTTTTCAATAAGGTGGGGTGGGTAAGATTGTGCCCGAGTAAAAAGATTGGCCTTGAACAGATACCTGCTGGCAAAAGAAAATGAACAAAAGGATATAGGAAAGCATTTTATTCACCAACTATCTGGAAGTTGGAGTGGCTGGGATGTCTCCTGTTTCCAGGGTTACAGACTGAGGCACATTCGATAGAGACAAGAGGATTTGACAACTAAGAGTCACCATGACCTGTGCAAGGGAAATTGTTTGTGTCATTCAGCCAACAGGTGAACAGGGCACCAAAATGTGTAAGAAACTTGGAGTCTAGACTTAGCTCATCACCAAATAAGCTTTATAATCAAAGCACCATTTTGGCACTTCTCCAAAATAAAGGAGTTGAATGAAATGCAGGTTAAGGTCTTATCTAACCCATTTTTTTTTTAATCCACTGTGGACAAGGCACAAGGCTGGCCAAGATATAAAGATCCAAAAGAGGCAGGACACAACCCTCAAGAACACCATAGTCTGCACAAGTAAACAGTGCCTACTAAAATCCCATCCTGGGGCTGGGAAGGTGGCTCAGTGGTAGAGCACTTGCCTTGCATGCATGAGGCCCTGGGTTTGATTCCTTAGCACCACATAAGCAAAAAGAAAAAAGCCAGAAGTGGCGCTGTAGCTCAAGTGGTAGAGTGCTAGCCTTGAGCTGAAGAGCTGAGGGACAGCACCCAGGCCCAGAGTTCAAGCCCCACAACCGCCCCCCCAAAAAAGAAATCTTTAAAAAAATAAAATAAATAAAATAAAATCCCATCCTTCCTAAATCAAGGTCAGCTGAAATTTGTATTTTAGGGGAACTGCTAAGAGTAACTTCTGGTGTGATTTTTTTTTAATTGCTCAGGGCCAAACTTAGCCTGAAAATGTCAAGATCTTTGACCACCTGGAAAAGTTATCTCTCAGCATGAGAAGTGCGAGAAAAGAATGAGCCATCAATTAAATGAATTTGAAATCCATTCATTTTCATACTATGGATATATTGTTAGTCAGTGCCCTGAGATATTTATCACAGCACATGAAATGGAAAGTTTCGATTGTATATGTTATCTTTTTTATAAGACAATATAGATTCTGCCAACTTTTGAGCCGGAAGAATAGAAAATACATTCATGCATAATGAGCTGTAAAAATTCAATGTTGAAAAGGATGTATTATTTTATCTGATACATCTTCCTGTCAACATGTTTTTTAGCATGTGGTCTTTTGTTCTATTCAGAATTTCCAGTTGTCTATTTGTACAGATTTTACATCTCCTACCACAAAGCTTAGAAATGTTGACAGCCTCTTCTTATACTCTCTACAACAATGTGAGGAGGAGGACATTTCTATTGCCTCTTTTTCTTCATAAAAATGTTCCCATGGTTAACTGTTCAGGTATCTTGTCCCTCTTTTTGAAAACACTGAGTTCCCAAAAGACATCTTTTTTTTTTTTTATTTGTGAACATACTGTACAGAGGGGTTACAATTGCATGGGCAGGATAATGCGTACATTTCTTACCAAGCATTGCAGCCT